CTGAAGAAGTTTTGGAGATAGAGAAGAAACTGTGGAGCACTTCACATGCAGTATGGGATTTGGGGAGGATTTTTAGGAATGTAAGCTCCTTACTAGAAGGACAGCATAATCCAGTGATATAGAGCATAGAGTTTGGAACTGAGCCTATCAGAGTTCAAATCTGAGTTCTATCATTTACTATCTGTAGGACCTTGAGCAAATTACTTAATTTCTGTGTAACTCTGTCTCCTTATCTGTAAGAGGGAGATAAGAATAAGCTCTACCTCATAGGATTGTTATGAATGTTAGGTGAAACGCCATGTGCGAAGTGTTTAAAAGTGCCTAATACAAAGTTAAGTCACATGAATGGGTGGTAGAGTCCTTTTTATCCTACAATGTGCTGAGGCAGAACTAAAAGTTGAATCTAGTTCATGTTGGACATAAAGTTGCTCAGCTCTGTGTGTTGGTTACTGTTTAAACAGCAAGGAGACCCTTAAAGGTGTAAACACAAACCATCATTTTATTGGTTTCAAAGTAATAGGTAGTCTATTGCCAGTCTCTGGAGTCTGGTGTGTGCGTGTGTGTTTGTATGTGCACGTGAGCACACACACACATTTGTATGTATGAGTTGGGAATAGAGTGTTGTATGTGGGTTCTATCCATATAAAGAAGCAGAAAAGCAGGATGTGCAATATTCTGCATAATTGACGGCTTCATTGTACCACCCGATAGCTATTCGCCTGCCACCCCAGGAATCCTAGTGCTACACAAGCCTAGGATGGCAGTGCCAGCCCTGTCTACTCATCTTTTATAACCAGGGGGCCTCTGTTCCTTAGTGAATTTCCTTTCCGTTCATTTTCAAATGACTTTTCTGATACAGGCATTGTTGAATATGCACAAGATAGAGGCAGAGGTATGTGATTGATGGATTTGCATAAGTATAAACACGGTATATGTACCCATATTTAAGTGATATAGTGATAATATTGTGTTGCCATCTCCGAGTGAACGCTAATTAATTCAGCTATTGAGATGATAATGATTTCTTTCTCAGTTAATACCAGAGTAGAAAAAACCATGCAGAATTGTCCTAATGCTGTTCCTTTGACTCATCATGGAATAAGGAATTTTATTTCCGTTAATTATTAAGCTATCAGTATCTATCATGGTTTTAAAGGGAATTGTTCCTGGGAGAGGCTGAAGATTAGCGGAAAGATTGACTGAGATAGGCTAAAGTGGCCAGTGAGCTCAATGATTTGGTACCGGGAAAATAATTTTTCTTTTTTCGCCTGTAGTTTCTTTGAAATGCATGATTTGCTATTTGCACTCCCAACATCAACACTGATCTGAAGCACAGTCTTTTTCTTTTTAGACTTGATGTGGTTGGATTTGACATTTAGGAAAACGGTAATATCTTTCCCACTGAAAATTACACCAGCTGACAAATTCACAAGCAAGTCTATGACTTTTTGAACCTTGTCATCTCTAACTTTTTTTTCAGCCTTTGTTTTCATATTGAGTTAGTTATCAAGTCCTGAATGATCCTCTGTTTCCTCCTCCCTGTTCTCACCTTCCTTCCTCCTACCTATCTAGTTCAAGCATTACCACCTCTGGCTGGTAACAGTCCCCTGCCTCTAGTCGCCAGTCTCCCTGTCCCACCTTTCTTGACTTTGCACCAAGAATCCTTCCCAACATGCTGGTTAGGTCAAAACCCTCTAAAATCTCTCTCTCTCTCTCTCTCTGTTCGGTAAAGACTCAACTCCTTTGCTTGGTATTCAAGGGCATTTAACCCTATTCTGTCCCACTACACGCCCTCATCCATCTACTGCTAATTCTCCCCACACTCTTCCGCTCCCATCACGGTGTATTCTCTACTCTTCCTTGAAATTTCCATAACTCCGTGCCTTTGCTCATTTCCCAGAATGTCCTTCTTTCCTCACAATCCATGTTTTAACAACCTACTTATTCTCTAAGATTCAACTCAAATTTTACTTCCTTTGTTAATTCTTCTCTAATTCCCTCTACTTGGAATTAATCAGGGTCATCCTCAGCCCATATAATGCCCTTTTGTCAAGACACTAGACTTCTAGCTGTTGGGAAACTGTCATAGTATGCTTATTTTACTAGAACACTTTTTATTGCCTTCTGCTGGGAAAACTGGCATAACAAATGTGCAGATCTCCAAGTCTGTGATGGAATTGCTGTCTCCCATTTAACATGGAACAACCTTCACAAGCATTTAGCATGACCATGAAATGATCACCTTTTCATCTACATTCCAATAATTTATTACATAATTAACTGTCCTATCATTCTATCTTGTATTATGCTGTGAATTAACTTGTCTTCCCACTAAGTTGGAAGCTCTGAGGACAAGGAATGTTTTCTTCACTTTGCTGTCTCCCTGATCAGAGAATGCAGCTTTCAGATAGTAGGTAGTTAATATTAGGTTACTCTACTCTGTTGTGCCCCAGGGCAGGCAGTTACAGCATGGTGGTTAAAAGTGTGGGCTTTGGTGCATGGCTACCTGGATTTGAATCTTTCTAGTCCACTAATTAACCATGTGACCATGAACAAAGTACTTAACCTCTCTGTATCTTTTTTCTTCATCTATAATATGGGATTCATAGTATTATCTTCATGATAAAATTGATGTGAAGATTACATAACTAAATGCAGGTAAAGTGGTTAGAACAACAGCTGGTAGATGCTTAATTAATGTCAGCTTTTATTCCAACAGGCTGTTAAAATAGGAAGGATACTGCTGTCTCAAATTTGGTAGAGGCATGGAAACAGTAGATGCTATTTTTCCAGAGAGCCCATCTTGTGGTGGGCAGTCAAGAACTAGTTAAATACCTCACCTACTTTGAGGACATGAAGTGGGCAGGAATTCGAAATTAGAGAGCAGTCTTTAAAGGTATTGGAACATGTAACTAGGGTGCTAGGAATCCCATATCCTCATTGCACAGGGAGGGGTGAGGGGTGTGGGTGTCTGCCCCTTGGAGCCACCACTGGAGAGTTAGAAAAAGGTGTCCCTGTTCCCCAGATAAAATCTATACACTAAGGAGGCCCTGCAGCTACAGGCCCATGAAGGTGTCTTCAACAGAATCACTCAGGAAGACTGATATGTATCATCTGCAGCTGAGGGGCACGGGAGATTAGCAACTGACTTTCACCTGAGATGTTGAAAAGGCAGGAGGGAGGGTGGATGACTGCTCATGAATAAGTGGGAGAAGTTTTCTCTGAGCTTGTTGGACCAGAGAAAGCCGACATGGGGTTAAGTCCACGCCAAGAGGGCCACATGGAGGTACCTCCGAAATAAAGAGGATGGAGGTCAATTGCCAAATATTCAGATGCTGAAGGAGAT